ACCAATGTAGTTGCATGACACAAGCATCCAATGATCTTCATGTAGGACAACTGGTGACTTTCCAAACAGCATTTCAAAAGGAGACTAATTAGATAACATAGTGGATGGAATTCTGTTGATGATATGAACAGCAGCTAAAGCACATTATCCCCAAAACTTGATTGGGATATTGCCTTGAAATCGAATAGCCCTTGCTGTCTCCATTATATGTCTATGTTTTCTTTCCACTACACCATTTTGTTGGGGTGTATATGGACAAGAACTCTAATGTATAATACCTTGAGAGTTAAACAACTCACTCACCTGAGCATTAAAGAACTCTCCACCATTATCTGATCTAAACATTTTAACTTGGACATTGAATTGAGTCTTAACCATAGCAAGAAACTGTTTCAATATGGTAGAGACATCAGACTTAAGATGCATGAGATATATCCATGTCTATCTAGAGTAATCATCAACCAAAGTAAGAAAGAACTTCATTTTATTATGAGTTGTAATATTGTAAGGTCCCCATATATCCATATGAACTAGATCAAAACATTGTAGACTTCTAGTACTGCTATTATGAAATGGTAGTCTGACTTGTCTAGCTAATGGACAGATATTGCAACATGTCAACTGAAAATCCTTCTTATTAGCAAACATGTCTATCTTCCTGATAACACTCATAGGGATATGACTTAGTTATGCCAAACTTCACCATCAACAGAACTCTTCACAACAGCCATACTCTTATGCTGTCCAATGTTTACCGATTGAGGTGACTTTAAAATGTATAGGCCACCATTTTCTTCACCAATCTCCTTCACTTTCCCAGTGAAGAGATCCTGAAGAATAAAGAAATCAGGATAGAAAATTGCACAACAATTCAACTGCCTAGTAAGTTTAGCCACTGAAAGAAGATTAAAATTAAGGTCTGGCACATATAAGACATTCTTAACTACTTCACCTCCTTGTAATTGAGAGCAGCCTGAATGTGTGACTTTTGTGGAATCACCATTTGGAAGTTGAACATGTCCTGAACTCTTCACTGTTGATCCATGAGTTAGTAGATCTTTAGTTCTCACCATATGATCAGTTGCCCCACTATCAACAATCCAATCAATACTAGAAGTTGAAGGAGTAAACTGAGAATGTCCTGCAAATATACCTATTGCATTGGTATTACTATTGGTAGATACTGTATTCCCTTCATGAATCAATGACTTGTTCATCATCTGCAGAACTTGTTGATATTGATTAGGTGTAAAATGTTGAGCTAGAACAGTTCCTGAACCACCTGAACCTGAATTGATTCCATGTTGTTGTAACATCTGTTGTGAACCACCCCCCTTAAACTGCTGCATCTGATCTACAACATTACTATCAGTTGAGCTACCTGAATTGTTAAATTGAGAGTTGTAGTCTGTTGTCATAATATTTGCTTGTCTCTTCCCTTTATAGTTGGTAGGATAGCCTATTAACTGATAACAAAAATCCTTCAGATGTCCATGTTTGTGACAGTGAGTGCAATACTTCAGTTTGCTACATTCAGCTCTATTGTGGCCTCTCATATCACAGTGATCACAATACAAGTATCCACTTCTCTGCTTATCAATTTTCACATTACCACTTCGATTATTCTGACCATTAAAATTGTTTCCTCCAGATCTACTAGTAAACAAAGCTGTAGGATCCATTTGCCCTCCTAAATTGTATTGATCTCCACTTAACTCTCTTTGACTTTCATCTTGAATTATCATAGCATAACATTGATTAACAGTTGGAGGTGTATTCATCATAAGAATTTGACTTAGAGCATGACTATAATTGTCATTCAAGCCCATCAAAAATTGCAGAAGCTTCTGTCTAAGCATGCTATCAACATATTCTTTAGATCTTTCACAATTACAAGATGGAGGAGGGACATTTGAATCAAATTCATCCCACAAATCTTTCAACTTTGAATAGTATACTGAAACTGGAGAAGTACCTTGAGTGTGTGTAACAATCGATTTGTGTAAGTGAAATATTCTAGACATATTAACCTTGTCAAATCGTTCCTTCAGATCACTCCATACCAGTGATGCATTAGAACGAAATAGAATTCCACTCATCAATTCCTTACTCACATTGTTCATAAGCCATGAAAGCACCATTGCATTACATCAATCCCACTGCTTCTTCTCAGAATCGACGGTGTAATCTTCACGTTTGATGCTACCATCAACAAATCCCAATTTATTCTTTGTTAGCAGTGTCAATTCCATTGCCCTGCTCCACAAAGTATAATTCTCCATCCCTACAAGTTGAATGCCAATTTGAACTGCTCCAGTAAAATCAGAAGAAGACAAATACAGGGGGTGTGTGTGATCGATTTTACTGGTCATTTTATTTCTTCCAATCTACAGATTCAGAGATCCAAATGAGCCAGAATTTATCAGAGATTATACTCCAGCTCTGATACCATGACAATTTGTTGATATTAAACAATCGACAATGGAAGATTGAAGAAAAGGAAGGAGAAAAAGAAGAAGGAACAAGAAGGAAGAAGAAGGAAGAAGTTATGGAGAGAATTTCTCCTTCATGCCTTTTACAATGTATTAACTAACTATTACAATGTATAATACTCACATATATATACAGTTAACTAATTAACTAACAATGTAAATGAACCTATAACAAAATGACAGCTGGCTAACAAACTAAACAAGCCACATTAACAACTAGTTAACTAACTAATTGAACACTAACAAACTAGTTATTCAACTCTTATCAATACTCTTAGCATATTCCTCAATATTACTAAATACTTGAACCAACATTTATATCGTCCATGAGATCAGCTTCAAAGGCAGAACTTGATTTGATGATGAACAAACCCGGAATTCTTGTGATTCCTGCATTGATTGATCGTGTCATTTGTATTGACAATATAAATTTGTCCCTCGTCTCTTTATCGATGACAATGGAACATGGGAAAGCAAACAATCAAGCATATAAACCGTACAGTCTAGGTCGTTCATATCATACATACAAGGCACACTTGACTCAGAAATGGTCAGTCACTTAAAGCATTCAACAGATATAACTAGCAAGTTTCACTTCGACACATTCACAAGAGTTATAACAAAGTAATGTATGACATATGAAGGCTTAACTTCGTCACTATTTATCTAATTATCTTCTCGGGATAATTTTGTGTCAATCCGTGAAATATGCTTGTTCCAACACACACACGGTTAAGGATAACATGACTACTTCACTTTAAGCATTTTAACAAACACATGGCACTAGTTTGTACGCAAACCAATTCAAGGGTTGTGTATCGGTTACCTCAATGCTACCTTTAGTTAAAGTGACGCTACAAGATCAAGAATGCAATCAATCTACATCACCAATAACATAACAACATCTTGTCCATCTGCAATGAAGAGACGGGGAAGAATCTCTTGTTAACACAAATGAGAAACTTCAATTTCTTTTTTCATTACTTTTCATAGGAGCAAGACACATGTTATAGGTCAGTTTTCGGGCTAATCAGTATGATAATTTTTCTCTATGAAAAACATATTGGGAAGGGTAGTTATACTGTATATGTGGGTGGGTGGGTCTAAGGCTAATATATTCCTTGATGGGAAGCATTTATGATTTGATGAGCACCGGAAAGATGCTTAGCCTCTGTTCCCGAAGAGGAAAAAAAAACACCAAAAACATACAACAGAAAAACTTGCAGCACTTAAAATTTCAAGTAATCAACCTAAAACCACTTTCACAAACAAGCTCAATTTTGTACTAAGATATCCAATTTTGTTGTATACTGAACCGAGTTACTCTATTAATCTTCATAAAGCTCACGACAAGATAACCAGCGCACACTTTATTAATGCATTCAACCAGCTACTTCCTAGTTGGGATTCAGGATTGTGTATCAACATGATATGAATTGTGCGGGAAGATAGAACTTAATTGAGCATGATAACAATAATATTTCAATGTTGCTGAAGTACCAAGCATCTTACATGATAAGGAAGAACACAATGACAAAGATACAATGTGATCACTAAATATGAGAACATGGATACAAGACAATTAGAAAGATTTTTACCCTCTTTTGATTTCTCTGCCTCCGCGGTGTTATCTGTAACCACATCACTACATATGAGGTGAAGCAAGGCTCTCAAAGTAGGTCGTAGCTTGAGCTTGACGAAAATAATCACCGGATGAGTAACCGTCAAGTCGCTTATATGAACCATCCCTAGAATTATACAGTGCTAGCTCTTCCCCAAGCTGCAGCAAAAATTCATCACAATTCTCAGCCACGAACAATGGTAAGATATAAGCCCTACGATGAACAGGTAACAAGATGGTAACCAATTTAGTCCAGGATTCCTCAACACCATACTCCTTCATCACCCACACATCCGCCTTATTCTTTTCGTAGTTGCAACAACCGACTAAATACCCCCTCGAAACACTTAATGTCCAATAAACACCTCCATCTTCATAACTAGGCAGTGCTATTTTCCCATATCTCTCTACAGCCAGGTCCAAGATAACAATCTCCCAAAACAAACCTGAACAATGACTATGGCATGCTTCCCAATGAAGTGCCCCATTTACAAACACACCAACCTTTCCATTTAAACTACTACTATTGAATCCCTCAATCATTTTCCAAGATTTAGCCTTTAAGCTATAAACACTAACCATATTCTCAAATCTTCCCTCAATATGAGGAAAACTAAAGATCTTCACAACCTTATAATCTTCAAAAGATGCATCATAACCAAACCCATATCTAATAAAACAACCAACACCACCACCACCGCCGCCATTACTCCGAAGCATTGAATCAGGAAACACATTAACCTTTCCAGTACATGGGTTCAATAACATTAATGTAAACGAGTCACTAGTCAAACAAATCAACCCATTACAAGAACCCAAAATCCTAGCTGAAATAGCTAAAGATTTAACAGGACAACTATTTCTAGCCAAACTAAGACATGAATTTTCAAACCCCAAGTTGTAAAAATTGCATTTTCTACCTGAACCATAAACAGAAGCTACCACAGCAAGTCTATAACCAGTCAAATTGGGGTTCTTTAAGCAAAAATCGACATGGGTTTTGCTGAATAAAGGACTTGAGAGCAAAAAAAACCAAGATTTCGAAACACACCTGAATTTCAAAAGGGATTTCATAGGTAACCTCAAGAAAATCTCAAAAATGATTTCTTGGGGCAAAACTGTTAGACCCTTCACAAGTCTCTTCCATTTTTTATGATTCGATTTGCTTATTGAATGGATCGCTATTTTATTGATGCAATTCTCATCCAATTTTTGGTTGCTAATAAGCTATACGAGTGACTATGTAAGTAGTCCGATGTTGTTATGCCTGTTTGCCGATACAAGGGTATTTTTGGTATTATAAATTTGTGCGATTTAAAATTGTTATATGTATGTACTATTCCTAATTTGAATGACTAATCGAATATCGTTCGTTGAAAATTATAGTATCATATAATTCATAAAAATATTTTTTACATAATAAATCTTAAACATCGTTATTAAAATATTTGACTTTAGAACTACGATTAGGAGCAATAAAGTGATTTTTCGAAGTCTAATAATGTGTTTGGAGAGAATTGGTATTGATATGTTTCCACATTTAGTAAAAATGTTTGAAAAATCTCATTTCTCATTTTCTTTTTTTTGGTTCTTTTTTTAGAAATTATGATGCCAACTTGTGGATAATGACAATATTAATCATATTCTAAATTTGTATGCTTTAAAATTTGGTATACGTATAGTTTCTCGTATGTACTACTTTTAGATTAGAACATTGGATTAATTTTTCAAAGTCCAATATAGAAATAGATATGTTTGGAGTATATTAACATGATTGTAATTAGTGATATATAGAAAGCTCAATATATAGCAATAAATAAATATGTTAAAATAACATAATTGTGATTAGTGACATATAACAAATTTAGTGAAACCATTGAAGATTTTCTATTCTTATTTGAGGGCATTTTAGGTATTCCATCATACATAATGATTTTCTAATTATTTTTATATGTACTATTTAGTGATAATTCATGAAGAAAAGAAAACTGACGATTGAAACATGTCAAAGGAACAGGTCCAACACAGTTGACTGACTTGTCTACGACAAGTGTTGATGAAGAAGGAAACTGAGGATTGAAACATCTCGAAGGAACAGGTCCAACGAAGCTGACTGACGAATCACAGCATTACTGAAGAATTAGGCATTAGAATTAGAGTAATTACATTTATTAGGAAGAATTATGTTTCGATTATAATTATAATTAAAATTATGTTATGACTAGAATTAAAATACTATTAGAATTTCTAATAGAACAATTAGAATTTAATTACTTTATTATTATAGCTAATTTAGTGAAATCGTTCGATAATTTCAATTCTTGTTTTTTTTAATTATTATTTTAGAGATTGAATTCACTTATAAAATCACTCCAAACATTTTATTATTATTATTGGTAAGCAACTTTTCCGATAGGAGACATTTTCTATATTGATTATTCAAAGTCCAATAAAGCAAATAATGGATTGAAGGAACCTAATGATTATATTGTGTGCTTTAAAATTATTATACCTAATATTTTTGTGGTTTGTATTAGGAGTTTATTGCACTATCTTCAACTATTTTTATTTGTCATAAAAAAAATTTTAGAGTCAAATGAATAACAATAAGGATTTCGAACTAATATGATATATATTTTTTTATCATATTAATATGTAAAAAATTATAATTTATAGTATTTTTTGTATAATTTTTAAATATCTAAAGTTTATATTTAAAATGTCAAATTAATGTAACGTAATTGAAAATTAGTCATATTGACTTTTAAAAAGCGAAACATGACAAGTAATAGTAGATGGAGCGAGTATTAAATAGCTTTTAGGACAATAAATATGCACATAACTAAAGAAAGTAAAAGTTTTTATTGATATTAATTAATGACATAATGCATATATTGGACCCTAAACTTGGTTTGTAATTTTAACTTTGATCTCCAACTTTAATAATGAACAAACGGACACTTTAACTATTCCTACTTTTAAATAAAGGAAAAAGGGTCAAATATGTCCCTAAACTATTTGAAAAGGTTTAGATATACCCCTGTTTAAAGTTTAACTCACTCATGCCCTCTCCGTCCAACTTTTGGTCAAATATGCCCTTATGGACGTTAGTGATACACTGGACATATCCAGCTCATTTTTTATTTCTTTAAATGCCACATGGAATTGTCATTGAATTTTGACCTTATCACAGGTCATTTAAATGAAAATGGAATGAGAACAATTATGCCCCTAGAAAAATTGAACACATAAACACCAAATCAGATTCATAAATCAACCCCCTTTTAAATAAATTATCCGATCCATTTTCAACAATTTGATTTAATTTTTATTTCTTTTGATAAATTTTAAAAATGAGTAATCGATTAATAAACAATATAAAGTATAAAATTAATGCCAAAAATTCAAAAATAAATGTAAGATTAAATTCAAAAATTTTAACACTTCTTCAAAAAATTTATTTTTTCGATAAATTTCGAAAAAGAGTAATTGATTAATAACAAAAATGAAAAGAATGTAAAAATTAGCGACAAAAAATTAAAAATAAATATATCAAACTTTAATTCAACAATTTTAATATTTTTTAAATTTTTTTCGACAAATCCCGAAAATGAGTAATTTATTAATAAAAAATAGGAAAAAATATAAAATTTATGCTAATAATTCTCAAATAAATATAGTTACCTTAAATTAAACAATTTCAATAAATTTGTTTAATTTTTATTTTTTGATAAATCTCAAAAATGAATAATTGATTAATAAAAAATAGGAAAATAT